TATTCGACAGAATTATTTAATTGATCGATGAAATGAATGATATTAATCGAATCAAAAATGTTTATACAACTTGATAACACGTGTGAAACCTTTACGATTATCGAGACAAAAACATAGTTGATTTTGAATTCAACAAAACTTCAAAACTAGAAATTATAACTAAGATTGTAAACACTTAGAAATTATCTATATATTAATTTATTATATAGAAATCTAATGAAAAAATCTTAAATATTGAATGAAGTGATGAATTTTGATCAAAATTATGTATTGTTTTATTCAAATCAACTTTTCGAAACTTTAATCAACTACATCAACTCGATTGTAAAATAATTGCACTGATAGAAGAAATGTATACATATTGAGAAATATTTATTATAAGTACAACTGAATAACGTAGAATTAAATAATTCAAAAATTTGTAAAGAATAATTAAATCAAAAAACATTTGATTTATATAATTTAAATACAAATCAATCGAGTTATGTAGTATTTATCAAAGTTTAATTATATATGGCAGGACAAAATCAATTAAAATGTCGAGCAATTCTCATAAAATATTATACATAAGATGAAAATATCTTGAAAAAGTTCTTAACAAAAAACAAAATAATATACAAGAAGAATTTAGTTTCATAAAATACATGACTTTTACTAATCGTTACTAATTTGGAATTTATCAACAAATTTAATTAATTGCTCAACACTTGAATTAAACAAATTCACTGATTACAAGTTCGATAAAATTGTTCTTAGAATTAGAAAAAAATAATATATATATATATATATGATATATATATATATTTTGTAATATTTTTGCAGCCCAACGTCGAATTAAAAAAAAGATTAAATAACAAAATTATTTATTCCATTAAACGTTTCGACACTTGATGTGTGTCATCATTCAGTAATCAAACCAGGAAAACAACAAAAAAATTAATTAAAATGTAAAATTGATTGAACACTAAATTTGTGTAAAATAATAATATACTATTATATTAACTAACAAGAAATAGAAGGAGCACATATTGATCTCCTATATATGATGTTAATGATAGCATGACATTGTGGTCACTCCACACCACAATGTCATGTATTGATGTTATATGGTCACTCCACACCACTATGTCATGCTATCATTGACATCATATAGGAGGTCAATATTTGCTCCTTCTATTTCTATCAAGTGTCGAAACGTTTAATGGAATAAATAATTTTGTTATTTAATCTTTTTTTAATTCGACGGGTTGGGCTGCAAATATTACAAATATTTTTATAATACTATATATATATATAGACTTTGTAAAAATCATGTTTATTATAATTTATTATCTAGTATGTAAACATAGAATGTAGAAAATAAAAAATATGTACAAAATTATGCTTATATAAAAATAAAATTAATTAGGCAAATTAATTGCAAAATGCAAATTTCCAGTTTGCAAAGCCTAGTCGAGTCTTACATATTTTGATCAAAACTTGTAATCATAAGACAGTGCATACATGCATTAATTATTGTTATAGGGAAAACACATGATTCTTGATACTAGAAAATGTAATAAATCGTTGCCATAAAATAATGAACAATGTTCACAAGACTTTGTAGAATAAAAAATATTATTCAGTCATGAAGCAGTAAAGTAAGGAAAGTGAAGATCTTTTGTAAAATTGCCGCTTGAGCTATTTTTTCTGTTATTATGATATACCACAAACATTATATTTAAAACAAGAGCTTGATCTAAGTATAAAATAGGTTTTACAAGTACTATGTGTAACATTTACTCATTTTAAAATATCCGTTGCAGCAAATTTGCAGGAATATATCTCAGCACTTGAAGAGTGACTCAATTAATGGATAATCAAAATAAAGGTAATAAAACCAATTAATTTCAGAACAAAACTTCAAGACGGTCCAGACATAAAATAAAATATATAAATATTCCAAATTGACTGTTAAAATTATAATGAAAAACAAATTATTTTTCATGCCTTTGTCACATACAACAACTTAATAAGTTTAAATAAGTAAATAATCAATATGTTTTCCCCCAATAAATAGATAAAATGATTTTCTTGTTTATCAAACATCACTTGCTAATTTAAAATTGCAAGTGATATTCAAAATCTGTTGCACATACATCTGCTAAGTAGTCAGAATAATACTCGTAATATAAAAAGAAAAAGCAAAATATTCATTACTATAATTGTAAAAACAATTAATTAATATAGTTAAACTTTGTTAAGAATAATATGTTAAATATAAACTGTCTTTAAATAAGATAACGACAATATGAACTGAAACATTAATAAATGAAAAAGTAAGGATTCAATATTTTGCCAAAAGCCCGTGTAGAAATAGTATTACAATATAATTACTTGAAACAAATAAATTATTAAACAGAATTAATTTCAGCAGATGCATGAGCATGAACGAGTCATAAAATATCTCACTGAAATATGTACATACAGACAATTTTGAATTATGCAAATCCCTTTAAAATTGTGATTAGGCTTAGATTTATCATAGTTTTATTTTAAATTATGACATTCGAAACCGGCTTTTTAGTAGAAAACATCTAAAGGTTTTTGATGTAAGAATAAGAATTTTAAAATAATTGAAAATTACAAATGTATTAAATGAAAGAGCAAAACGATAGACGTCATCAGTTTCCTTGCTTTGATTTCTCTGAATAATTTTATTAAACAAAAAATTAAGATTATTTACATTTGTATTAAATTTGCCTGGATTAGGAAACACTTAGTCCTTTGCATAATTATCCTCAAAACTGAACGTGATTTTAATAAGTGTGTGTGGATAAACTTTATTTACTCTCGTCACTTATTATAATTTATATTATACAATACGCAGTTATATATTTTTGTTTACTATAAGTATCCATCTGTATCTAACAACATTGTTTATTTAAATAATAATATGATTATTAAATAATAATGAAAAATGATATGTTATAAAACATAACAGAGTATTTATTTATTGTTTGATGAATGCATGTACACATCAGTAACGTATTCTATGACACGTTTTGTAAAAAAATTGCTTTAACTCACATTGATCCCTCGAAGAAACTGCTTGCAATCCCAAAGCTAGGCTGCTTCGAGAACACCAAAGATCACTGCTTCGAAAACACTATTTCACATTTACTAGATTACTTTCAATTCACTTAATTTATAATTTTCAAATGTCCAAGTGGAGTCTTTGCTCAACACACGTCGCGACGCAAGTATTAGAGACTTTGGTGAATGAATCGTAAACATATAATTTAAAAATATGCAGAAGTACTTACAGTCTTCAGAATCGCAAATACATACACCATATATTTGATAATTGTATATATGAATATTACTAAAGGATACATTGGAATCTGTAAATAAAGTATTCGATTACAATATTAATTAGAAGGCCCATTAAAAACCTTCATAAAAGTCATTAATCTAACCCCTAAGTACTTCGGCACATATCTCTTTCAGGCACAAATTATCATTTACACATTTTACATGAAATTGATCTACATAATTAATATAACAAATTAATATATGAATTAATTAAATCTAATTTGAAAATTTAATTAAAAACGCTAAATAATTAACACACGTGAATCATTCATCAAAATCTCCATGACATGTGCACACCAAGATGGCCGGCCCCATAGGAGAAGTGAAAAGTGACATAACGTCGAGAGCGCGAATTTCAAATTGAAAAACTATACATTAAATAAAACGACTTTTATTTTATATTAACACACTTCGTTACTTGATGTTTATTAACAGTTGTAACTAATATTCATTTTAAATAGAATGTTCTCAAGTGAAAAAAAGCTTATATGAAGTCAAAATTTATTAAGATTAAGAATCAAACTTGATTCATTGAATAAGTTTGTCACTTTAAATAACTAAATTCAATAAATTATTGAAATATAATAACAAGAATAATCTTTATTAATATATATTATTCAATATCATTATCACAATAAAATAATATAATTTTCATGAATGACTGCATATTTGGTGTAAAATGTATGTGCACACAACAAATTTTATACAAAGATTTTGAGGCAGTTTTTTTTAAATTTCTTAACATTAACTTTAAATTAATCTTAAATTGTGTAATATAACAAATTTTAAATAATTTTAATCAATTATTTAGAATTAATTTTATGTAAAAGTACATTCAAATAAAGCTGAATTAACAATTAAACAACAATTCCTTTAATCCTTCTACATTTTTCAAACAAATAACAACACAACATTTATTATCAAACTCGTTTACATTGTTTCTACAGAAATTTTCATCCTTTTGGACATTGATATAATCTTTTGAAGCTACATCATTCTCATTGATCTCTGATGAATAATATTCCTTAATACTTTCCCAACATTCTTGAGATGGATCACATTTACAGTCAATACATTTACATATATCACGAGTAATATCTTGAAATGTTTGGACTAAACCTTTACATAAATTATTATTTGATTTCGATTCACAACAGGTATTATCGCAATTACATTTACATTTTTTGCTATTAAGAACCGGCTTTGGTTTCTGGTGCAGATTATTATCTAAACTGTTAGTAAATAGTTCATTAAACATATCATCATAATCCACATTTGTAAAATCATCAATATTTTGTATATCATCAATTATCGACTGTTGGTTCTCATAGGCGCTATGTAAGTCAATGCTTTTGCTCTCTCCAGTATATGCATCTTCCAATGTCATTGATAACGAACTGTCATTATTACAAATAACATTTTCAGCTACTGATTCTGTGGTATTTGTTTCCACAAGTGCTTTATTTTTATTACAATTCTGTAAATCTATATATGATGCAGTGCATTTCGGTACAACCAACCCATTTGGTAAACCTATGGGAAATTCATTGAATATTTTTTGATTGTGAAGAACATTATCATCTATTTTATTATCTTCATTACTGATGGTGTCAATATTTAACATGCTGGGTGATAAGCTAATGGGAATCTCAGTCAATTTTGTTGCCAATTCAGATATATCCATCCAAGACGCTGCAGCAGGAAGTTCCTCTTCCGATGCTAATGATAATTCCAATGCTTGCAAAGTGTTCGAGTATCCATTTTCTGTATCTGCAAACGATTTATAATCATTGACAAAGGCGTTTTCAATGTTCTCCGATGGCGTTGAGTAACCGTAATCATCACTGTTATATAATTGGCTATCGAGACCCATAACATCATTGTTTGAGTTGTTTTCATATGAATGAGGCACATTGAATGTGCTATCAAGTGTTTCTGCAAATCTTCTGTCTAAGAAAAGATTTAAAAATAAACTTTTGCTAAATAAACATAATGTTATTAATAAAAACAGGAATACATACCATGAGCGGCTTCAGCAAAATTATTCAGTACATCAAAGTCTTCACTGGATAATGCATTATTAAAAGTAATTCTCGATATTTCATAAACATTATCCTCAGGTAATTTGTCTGATTTCTCTGTATTCAAGCGAATCTCAATATTTGCTTGGGCAATATGTGTTTGCCCTGAATTCAACTCTGCTTTTTCATCTTGTTGATCATTCTATATAGATAAAAATATTCATATTTAAAATAATTAATGATTTATAGATAAAATAGATATACTTAAAATGGAAAGATGCAAATAAATTATAAAATTTAAGAGTGTGTGATTCAATAAATATCACTTACTGGTTTTTATTTGGGTATTAAATAGAAACACATGTATATATTTTATCCATAAATCATCTATTTATTGAACCTCAAAATAATCAAAAAAGATAATTAGCATAATAATAGTAAAAACAAACAAAAAATAACAACTGAAACCTGATAAAATATTCTAAGAGAACGTAGAAAAAAAGATATGGTAGGATGTTGGTTAATAGCATCAAAGAACTGAATTCATTAGAAATAAATATAATAAATCATATATTTAAGAATGCATCGTTTTCATATATGTATTATTTCAATGTAGAAGCATATACTCAAATAAACTGATATTTATGTGTTGGTGTGTTACCCTGTGCGTCTTGGTGTGTGTCTTGAGACTGTGTGAAGTGGTGAAGGCTTTCTTACAGTCGTCTTGTATGCAGATGTATGGCCGTTCACCAGAGTGAGTGCGTGAATGTGTCTTTAAGTGATGAGATGCCGTAAACGCCTTACCACAGCCAGTCATTTCACATCTGCAATTGAACATATAAATGCAACACATCTGATTTGTTATAAGATACAAGAATTCAGTTTTGAAAGTTGTAACTAGTTTTTATTTATTACAGAATAATTATTTTACTTGTATGGCCTTTCTTGAGTATGCGTTCGAATATGTTTTTTGAGATCACTCAATGTTGTAAAGCATTTGTGGCATTTATCATTTGAGCAGTCAAATGTGTTTCCATTATGTATCCTTTGATGTGCTCTTAACCTGAAACAATACAATCAGATAATTTTTCACATGTGGTTTGGAACTTGAGCTAAGTATACTTTTTATATACCTATATAAAGTATTAAATGCTTTCTCACATCCATTTTCGGTGCACTCAAAAGGTTTAACTTTTGTATGAACTCGCAAATGAATTTTTAGACTATAAGATGTTAAAAATGCTTTTCCACAATCAGCATCTGTGCATTTGAATTTTAGCTCGCCTGCAAATAACATATGTATTTGATTCAGCTATACATGCATATACAAACACACAAATATATATATATATATATATATATATATATATATATATATATATATATATATATGTTACAAGTACCATAGTCAATTTCTTGCAATGCAATCATTTCATTATAAATCAAAGAAACTGGTTCAAATAAGCAAAAATATAATTGAAAAAGAAGCAATAAAAATAATATATAGTACAAGAACATTTTTTGGTTTGATAATTTTCTTACTAATATTACTAATATTAGTAGATATATCAACTTTAAGCATGCTTCATTCAACATTTACAAAACATTAAAAATACAACTTACATAAGGCAGTAAACTGTATCTTAAGCATAATTGTCAAGTCATTATATAACATAATAACTAAATATAAATTACTATACAATAATAGTTTTGGTCAATGATATAAAATACAGTATTTATTGATATTATAACTTGTATCTATACCTCTTCATGGCCTTTACTGCAGCATAAACAGTTAATTTTATAAATTAGTTGTAAATCCTTGATTATTGAGAAGTAATATATTGTATTGGATTTTCAATCCAATATATTTAAAACACAATCACAAGACAATGATACACTCACAAACAACTTGTGCATACCAGTGTGCGTTTTCATATGTGTTCTCAAATTCCCAACTGTACTATAAGTGCGGGGGCACCGGTCATAAACACAGTGATATCGGGATAAGTCTCCACTATTATTTTCATTTTTTTCCTCAGTTTTTTTATCATCGCTGTAACAATTCTCAGAAATTATAGTATTGAAAAGAATATTGAAAAAACATATAACAATCAACTTTCTGAAGCTACGAAATTAGGAATTAAGAAACGGTCTGTTTATAAATTATACATCAAGAACAATTCAGATAAAGTTAATATTTATGTTTAATATATTTCATTCTGAACAAATTTTAATTAACTAATTAATTTATATAATTAATTTCAAATAAAATAACTCAATTTTCAATTTAGATCTTGATTTAACTGTATTTTATATAACAATTTTTTTTTGTAATTGTGAAATTGAAACAAATTTATTCATTTACAAAAATTTTGTTTCAAAAAAACTGAAGAAAGAAATCTATATTATTTTACTGTTTTTGGAGAAAGTGATATAAAGTAATAAATCCTTTATCTATATTTCGATGCTCGTAACATTGAATTAAATATTATATTAGTTCAAACTTTAGAATTTTATTTAAAAAAATAAAAAATGATTAAATGTGTATGAAATATGATAAGCTTGTAGCTTTAAGCATAAACAAAAATAAATTACTTACTTGTCACTTGGTAAAACATCTATCAATATTCCATCATTTTCATTTCGATTTTGAAACCAATTTGCTTCAAAATCTTCTTTAACGTAAAAATCTGAGAACATAAAAGGAGAACATTATCTCTGTGTATTGAAATTGAAACCGTCAAAAAGACAGTGCTATCCTAAAGTCATTACAGAATCACTCGTATATTATTCTTTGTATAATTACCATTTGGATCATTAGCCATATTTTGAAAAGGCGCAATCACTTGAATATATTAGCAATAATTCACTAAGTCCAAAAAAGCAATAACATGTTACAGATGACCATTTCTCACCCATTTTATAAATATACTTCTACATGTTTTAAATATAGCATACACACATATCATAGGTTAAATTTAGAATGACGTTTGGGAAGTGTTGCCAGAATAAGAATATTGTATTTATTATCATATTATTATTTTGATAATGAAAGGTTTGTTCTATCACAACCTTTTCATTGATGGTTTGTTCCGTTACACGCATAACTTGAATTCTGTTTTCAGCCAAACTTAAATGGAAACTAGTGGGGTGGGTGGCATCGTGCCTTAAGGCAAATTGCTGGAACTTCCCGTACCGTAACGAAATATTCGAGGAATACTGAATGTTTTCAAATAGATTATTATAAATATTGTAACATTGTCTAATATTTATAAGAATTATATAAACTGAATTGCTAAGTTGAAATTATTTGTTTCAAGTATATTAGAACTATAGTCAGAATTAAAAATAAAATCTGAATTATTTTCGATTTACAAAAAATTAAAAAAAAAAAATTGGAACAAAAATTTTTTTTCCAAAATCAATTATTTTGTTAAGACAAGCAGAAAGTTCTTTGAATCATTCAAATCGGACGCTTAGTTATCTCAAAAACTGCCATTTTTTACATATTTAGCTCCGTATCTTCGAAATGGCTGGGCCTGCCTTTGCCAAAAACTAATAAACACTTTTCCCAATCATTACTAATTGAATGTTTTTTATATCATTCAAATCGGATACTCCGTTCTCTCAAAAAGTCGATTTCTATTTTCTGCACTCTTTGCTCCGTATCCTCGAAACGGCTGGACCTGCCTTTGCCAAAAACTAATCAGCTCTTTTCCCTATCGATATGAATCGAATGCTTTTTGAATCATTCAAATCGGTTGATCCGTTCGCCCGGAAACGTGACTGGAAATTTGTATCCATACATACATACACACACACACACACATCCATTTTATGTGAGGTATGCCAAAATGTTCAGAAACTTTCAAAACGTCGAGAAATGTAAAAATTTTCAATTCCGATTTTCGGCCCATTACTATAACTTACCCTACAGGAAGTTAATAATAAATAATATTGTGCATACATTAAATGAATTGGTCCAATTAATATTTTTTAGACAATTAAGGTATTAAGTTTAGTTGATTAATAGATTATATAAATAATATATTCCATTCAAAAATTAAATTTATTTTCACGTGGTTTACTTCTACAATCATAAGACGTTCATTTTTAATATTAAATATTCCACCGAGGTTTTTCGTTAACAGAACATTTTCCTATTTTCTTAGCATTTCTCAAGCCTTTGTGATCTTTAGGTAAACTATCTAACCAATTCAAGACTTTGGATCTGCCTGTTTTGTCCGATTCGATATCAGATCCAAGTTCCGTGCAAGAATCATCTGTTTTAGAATTACGAGAGTTATTTGATAGTGTAGTTTTCATATATTGCTTTTCTCTCTTAGTATTTTCCAGTATTACACGTCGGTTTTTATGATTCTTTTCTCTTGGTCGTGGTGATCTTTGTTTTGTTTTAGGACTGTCAATCTAGAATATAAAACATTTAATATATATACATATATATTTATGATCAACTTTAAATTATATATTCATGAAATATATTGCAACCTGTCTAACGTCATCCATCGACTGAATAGAAGGCAATTTATTTTTATCATCGTTGGCCTTTCTGCAAAGTCTATGCGAAGGTTCCGAATTCGTCTTCTTCAATACTCTTATTGGGAAAGCTGCATATTTATGTTGAGATTTTTCATTATTACATTGATTAGAATCATGACGTGATTCCAAATTAGGAAGTTGCATTTCTATTTCGGGTTCTTTAATTGTTTTTTTCAATCTTGCTTGAATTTCTTGCTGTTGGGCTTTGATAATTTCAATTAACCAGTGAGGAGACAGGCCTTGCAAAAATGTATCAGATATAAGTTTCGGGCCTGCAGAAAAACAAGATTTATAAAAATTAAATATTTTTATATTATGCTAAGTGCTAATTTTTAGAGAAATTTTACATAAATTCTGCTAATATGTCTATAATTTTTATTATACCTTCTGCTTCATTAGTCATTTCAACTGCTTCTTTTAAGTTTGTGTTATCCATGGTAAAATTTAAGTGCATCTTCTCTATATTACATAAACTTAAATCAATCCCTTTATTTTCTTCAAATTTCTCATTTTGCAGTGCATTAAATGCATTCCAAGTGAGATTTTCACGGCCTAACAATGACATCTTTAATTTATTAAACATAAAATCAAATTTAAAATTTAAAATAAAAAAAAAACAATTGTTTCCAATGAGCAATAGATTTTGTAGAAAAATTGTGTCGAAACTTACATGGACGTAATTGTGCTATTAAATCATCAATTTCTGTCATCAAGCTTTTAGATTTTGATGTTATTGTGAGAGGTTTTTCGAAAATATGTTCATTTAACTGATTTTGCCACTTACGAATTAAAAGCATTACGATTAATTAAAGTATAAGAAACTATAAATATGAAAAAATGTCAAATATAAATAAAGTTATTCAATTGTTTATATTTCAAAATTACAATTGATGTTAATAATAACTACATCATTTTGAATTGAATTGAGCATTTGTGAATATGTTCTACAATTCTAGTAAGATTTCACTTGACATTATAAGATACATTTGCATGTGTTATTAATAAATTCAATTGAAAATGCATTTTTGGCACAGGTTATAATTTATATGCGATGCTTTGCTATCTCTTTTGCAATTACATACTATCGATTGAGATACTATACGATGTTGAGTATTGTATTAATAAATAATGCAATAAAAATACTATATGGTTTATATACATTATTATTAAGAATACATTTTATTTTCGGTGGCATGAAGCAAAATGTGATTTGTATTTCATATTTATATGGAAAGACTAAACAATTAATGTATACATTTTGTATATCGCATTACACTTTTAATTGTATTATTTTATTTTTGTAAATTGATATTGAAAACATGATTGACGTTTGATGAGTATATTTGATTCGCAGTTCGTATAATTCTTATTGCATATGTGACATTTGTGTGTAATGCCATATAGTATAGTAACAGCTAAAATATCAAATAAAAAGTTAACAAGTTAATTAAATAATTATTAAAGTTGTCCTTAATTAATTTCTTTTATTAAATTTTAATGTAATAATCAGGGCCGGATTTAGAAATTTGGCGCCCCGGGGCAATGACAAAAATGCCGCCCCATCCCCGAAATTTTACAAACTTTCGAACTTTTTTTAAAGCAATCGTGCTGCTTCAGCTGCGAGAGACAAAATATAGAAGCGCGTAAGCGCCGTGTCGCAGTCTAACGGATAAACAATGCTACAAAACTTATATAAATGTAAACAAAATTTATACTTATTATTATAATATCTTTAAAATATCTGGTAATTTAATGTGCATATGTCTTAAGATCACTTTTGTCCGCCAAATGTTTTTATATCAAATTTTTTTATTGGATCATCGAAACCGCTAAACCTGCCCCACACAAATTTAAGCAGTTATTTATTCTGTAAATTTTTTTGAATGTTATTGGACGCTTTTTTCTCAAAAACTGAATTATCATTTTTGGCATTTTGAAAACAGGTGGACCTGCCTTGACCAATAACTAATCAGCATGTCTCCTTATCAATAGGAATTGAATCATAAATCGGCTTGAATAATTAAAAAATATTAGATTTGAGACGTGCTGATTAGCTTTTGGTACAGGCAATTACGAAAAATGATAATTGAGTTTCGATATTTCTTCTCTGAAACAGCTACGCAGCGCTATTGCTTTGCAAAAAGTTCATAATTTTCGAAAAAATTCAAAATACAAAAAATGTGTTTTAGAAGTCTTTTTTTTCATTTTTCAATAAAATTTAAAGCTCTTTATAAATGTAATTTTCAGTACGGGATGTTTCAGTAATTTGTCTTAAGGCAAATGAGTCACTAGTTTAAATTTGTTTTTCGGCGCTTTAAGCTTGGAAGTGCACAAATACGTCATTTTAAGAGGGCTCGAGAACTGAAAAACATATTTTTCTTAAACTTTCAGCTTCTTTCCGGATATTTATATTAGCCAAATTGCCAAATTTGATAACTTATTAACCAATTTGATAATTTACGTTCGGATAGGGAGGCAAGGCAAAATAATAAATTTTAGTTATCGTTTATTTCAACCCAAATTTTGCATTGCAATCGTATTATGTTTTGTTAATTATATTTCTTGAAATAAAAAATGTTGTTAAAAAAAAATTGATTATATTGAATAGAATTTTTTTCTCACTATCCAAATTTTGCCGCCCCCCAAAATTTGCCGCCCTGGGCAGTAGCCCCGATTGCCCCTACTGTAAATCCAGCACTGGTAATAATATTAAACCAGGTATTGCAATTTAATTTATTTGAAAAAAATAAATGAGATTGCATAAAATTCCAGAAAAATACTTACAATAAAAATTCCAAAAATCAAACCTAATTATTAAAATCAGTACTTAGGAAAGATATTAAATTTTAAGAAACGTTTAGTAATTTTAATGATAAATGTAAATTGTAGTTTTTTCGAGAAATTGCTATAAGATAAATAATTTGTATAAATTGTGTAAAATAATTTAAATAAATAAATAAAAATAAGTACAAAATAAAGGATAGTAATTTATGTGAAACGTTCTAATGGAAAAGATACAAATTGATAACATATTAGAAAAATATAAAATAGTAATAGTAATAATAAAATAATAATAATAATTAATTGTACAGGTGGTAAAAATATTAATTATAAAAGCAATTCAAAAAGACAAAATTAAATAATAAAACAAAACATATAAAAATCAAATAATAAAATTAATGAAATAACCTAGATTTTTAGTATAATTTAAGCAAAAATTCAGTACTCACATGTATCCATTTACTTTGTATATATTCAAAATATATTTTATTAAAACACAAACATCACTAAAAATGTGCACAAGTTTACTAAATTCAATTCAAACAAAAATTCCTTATGGCATTCCTTATGGTATCAAATATATTTTTATAAAACAGTATATTTTTATAAAAACAAATATCACTAAAAACG